TATAATACATCAGAGCAGTCTGCCCTTATGTGTACAGGTACCCTAAGGTGCTAAAATCTCAGATTGGATTAATATCATTAGGCATCCACTAATGATTCAGAAGTGGACTCTGAACTGATAAGAAAAATGTAGTGGAGCATTGCTACGAACTGCTCCAGAGTAGTGTGATTATGTGAATGTGAGGGCTGAGTTGACACTAGTTACAAGGAGCATTTGATGTAATGCTTTTGTGCATCATAGGAACAAAGCAATTGGATCTCCACACTGCATGGCAGCACTTTGCCTACTCAGCAAACAGGTCTGTATGAACAAATTGCCCTAGTCCTCTGGTCTCTGCTGCTCCCCCTTGAATAGAGAGTCCAATTCAAGCCTTACATTCTGATACTCCAAGATCTCCATAGCCTTCTAGTTACCTGAAACATTGCCTCTCCCTCCATGATCACCACCCCCCAGGACAGCTATGTGCAACTGTAACATTGGAAATGACTATCCAGATGGGCAGTTTTAGAGTTATGGAAGACAAAACTATTAAATAAGGATGCTAATCCAGTTTTTAAAAGGTATTTAGGTGCCTAAAGATGCAAGAAAGCAAGTTGTCGTAAGCAAGTTTGGTGGCTGACTTGGACATTTTTGTAAATCCCAACGTGAATCCGTGTGCCTTTATACATCTGTCCCTTGATGATGGATCTCTCTTTTTCCAGGGATAAGAATGACGGCAGAGCTAAGCATACACCGTTGCTGTGTGTACCTTGTGTTCTGCATGAGAGGAGTAATAATTTGTTTGATCTGTATAAGTATTCCAGCATCAAAACCCTCAGTGTTTTTCTGCAGTGCTAAAGAATCAGAAAGTATCACTGAGAGATAGGCAGTATGCTTGTCAGGTGTATTATGAGTATCAGTATGGACAGCCATTTGCTATAAAGAGAAATCAGTTTTTCCCTGTGTGTCCTATGGTAAATGAAGGAAAAGGGTGCAAATCAACCACAACATGGTTTAATAGGCATCCCTTCTGGTTTAAGAGCTAAAGAATACATTGTTAAGCCTGCATATGTCTATACCTGCTTGTACGTAGGAGAAGAAACCTGTACAGAGAGGAGACCATGTGTGACCATGCTAAATTGGCACCCTGAATGTATTCCTCTGCTCCAACCAGTGCTGTAGCAAGGGGTGGGCAAGTGGGGTGACAGCCCTGGGTGCCAAAGCAAAGGGCGCCCAGCTAGGAGCGGGGTGGATGCGGAACAGAGCCACAAGCGGATCATTTGGGGGGACCCAGGGAGATGGGAAGGGTGGCTCCCACCATTGCATGGACTCCCACACAAGCCTGGGGAGGCGTGTGCCCCCTCGGATCTGTGCACGGGGTGAGGGTGGGCTGCCGCTGCAGGCTTTGCCCGGGCGCCAAACTTGGTTGCTCCAGTCCTGGCTCCAACGGACTATTTCTATGCAATCATAGGTGACATGTCGCTCTGTGTTGAAAATGCTGTTTCAGGAACACCAAACAAGAAGCCAAGGGCTCACTGGAGGAAGACATTAAGGAACCAAAGCAGTGTTTTCCTCTCCCCGAACAAATCTTCCCCATCTGTGCAAGTACTGTTATCTCTGCCATCCTCAGCAAAAGAGGGAATTCACACTCTCAACAAGAGCATTTCCGGACCGATGCTTGAAGGATGCAAAACTTCCAAGGATCCAAACCGGCATGCACAGCTTCTTGGGCGTACTCCTCCCTCCTCCGCTCCCGCACACTCACCCGTGCACATGCGCTGTGATAATCGTACGGAGCGGAGCAGCCGACAACCAGCCTGTAAATTGGTATTCCAGAAGGCAAGCAATGTGCTGCTAGCCCATTTCACTACGCTGTGCAAGGAGCTCTGTTCCCCAAGAGACCGAAAATTCAGGATGAAAGGCCGATTGCGAGTGGAGCATTACCGGTTCCATAGTGTGCTACAGACAATTTGTGGAACAGCGTGTTTGTTTTTCATCATCATATAATGAACTTGGCCACTGCTGACAAGACGAAACAAGGATTATTAGCTCTTACTTATTTTGATTTAGAAAAATGTTTGTCATTCAGTCAACAGCCTCCTCTCCCAATTTCTGGGTGCTTCCAATTTACATCCTCATTAAAAAAAAATCATATATCTACTGGGCTCATGGCTTGTGCACCCCTCGGGAATGAATAAAATCAGTGCATGCCTTACAGTAAAAGGCCCAGATCCTGCAGCCTGCCTGCCTGGAGCTTGTTGCCAGATCAGCTCTGCATACAGTGAATGAAGGTTCAAAAGGGCAAATAATTTATTCTTAACATTTTTTAACAGATCTGGGTTTTGTTTACATGTTTTTAGAGATGCTTCAAAGAAAGCCTTTTGCAGTGGCATTATCCCAACTTATGCATTCGACCCCAGGACTGAATATAGAAAAGGATGTGCGAGGAGGACATTTCTAGTCATGATAAATCCACTGAGTGTCCCCAGTCAGGAATTCAGGGCACAATTTTGAGTTCACCTCCAAGCTGACTCAAACAGAGCAAGAGAAATCTTTTGGGATCCATGTGCACCAGAAAAAAATGCATTAATGATTTTCATTTGGACTCATGAGACACGCAATGACCCTGTAATTACTGGCTGCACTCTCCAGTGGCTTCTCATCAGCTGCAGATGGTTACTCAGAGTCCACAACCTTTGCCTTTGGCTTTACCTCTGCAGCAACTGTTACTCTGCTGTCAATGCCCAGATTTTTCATCACTCTGCATTTCAAAAAAGACAAATGCAGCTGCAGTCACAGCAAGTTGAGCCTCTCTCTTCCTTGTTTCTTCAGTCACACTTTTTTTTTTCCTGGCAAGCGAAATCTGACTACGCAAAGCAACTTCTAACCAATTAGATGTCTCCCCCGGGCTTTGCACAGAAGTTGACGCTATTTCCAGTTCTACCACATACAGACTATTGCATTTGCTCCAAGCCACCTTGGATAGGGATCTAATTACTTCTGCTACTGGATCCGTGTGACATCCCATGGCAGCTGACACCAGTCTCAGGCTAGAAGTAAGTGCCTTGGCTCACAAGTGGGGCTGTGCCAGCAAGGGAAGCAAAGCTAAAGCATCTAGAAAAGGGGCGGGCCGTTATTTCAGCCGGGGGGGGGGAGCTTAACGAGTTTTGGTGACCTGTCGAGAACTGCAAGGGTAGCCCCGCCCCTTGACAGGTGCCACACTCCCTCATTGCCATCTTGGGACTGGAAGACCTGACCCCTGACCTTTGCCACCGGAAGTCCCTTACCCCTGGAAATACTCCTTTTGGGAGGGGAGGGTTGGACCTAGAAAAAACCCAAATCATAGACAAAAAGTCAAACACCACCGCATGGTGGCAAGGAGCATGGCCAGGCCAGCCCCCACCTCTATCCCATGGGGCTCCCCGTGGCACATGTGCAGCTCCCAGCACTTGCACACCACCGGGGGAAGCTCCACGTGATGGCCCCGCCTACATTCCCCGCCCCCTGCTGGGTGGGTCCCAGGACTCCACCGGAAGTGGAGGGGAGCCCCGCCCCCTACTCCCATGGTGGCAGGGAGTGGTGCAGGCAGCCAGCTCCATTGCACAGGGTTTCCCCCAGTAGCATGCGAGTGCCGGGAGCTGCACATATGCCACGGGGAGCCTCACATGGTAGAGGTGGGCAGGCCTGCCTGTGCTCCTTGCTCCCATGTGCAACTCTGGCTGGAGCCCCGTGCTGCTGGGCGGCTCATCTGCATGGGCCACGAGTGGCTTGAGTGCTTTCTGCCTACTGCTGCCACTGCAGTGCACCATGGGGGGAGTGTGTGGGGGTCCCCGCCCCCCCACCGTTCCTCACACCTACACCCTGCCCACCCAAGCTCCACGCTACCCAGCTACAGCCCTGCCTTCCCCTGCCGCTTCCCTTCCTGCTGCCTGGAGTGGGCGCTGCGGTAGGGAGATGAGGAGGAACCACTGGACGCCAGGGAAGCTGAGCAGGTGCCCGAGCAGCTGCAGCAGTGACAGCGGCAGCTGCACCCAGAAGCTGCACGCTCGCTGGGCTAGGCCCTTCCATGAATGAGCATAGGAGGGAGGCGTGCAAGCCAGGCAGGGTACAATTAGTTGTGGGTGTCTGTGGGCCGGATGAAATTGCCTGATGGGCTGGATCCAGCCCATAGGCTATATTTTGCCCACCCCTGATCTAGAATATTGCTGAATAGAAAAACCTTTTGCACACTGGTGCTCCTATGGAACTGGCATCTCCTGGTGATAGCTTTGCCATTGCCTAATCTGTTCTTGATCTGAATGCCCCCCACTGTATTAGATATGCCCCTGAAGGCCAGAAGTTGCAAATCATACTTCCTACACCCCTTTCAGATAGAAAAGGAGTGTTAGGGTATCTCTTTATGGCTCCAGAGATAGGAGTTTGAATCCTGCTCAAGACTCTTGCCAAAGGCTGGCTCCAGATGACCCAACTGTAAGTGGAACCTGATCATTCAGTCAAAAGTAGACAGATGTGATGCCAGGTGTGTATTGTTGGCTATTGCAATTGGTGTTTCTTAGATGCACTAAATGTATAAGATTTTCCTACTAAAGAGGCTGCCTTAAGCCTAAGTAAGTTCCAATGAAAATATAAAATATCCCATACTGCAACAGTTAATTGAAACAGAGTATATGTAGACTAGATTGCTAGTTGTAAGCCATTGGCAAGCTTTGCTTCTTTGATAGTGGGGTAGTTTTGTGTGGCGTTCTGCTAAATATCTGAATCTGCTAAGTGAAGCCTGACAACATCTGAAAGTTCATGGGCAAACACAGATCTGTCAGGAAGCAGTTTAAAAAAAAAATCTCTCCTACTCTAACTCAAAGCAGGGCCCCAAAGCTACAAATAAATAGTCTCTATTGTGGCAGTGATTTTACACACGGAATTGCTCATGCATGGCATGGTGACAAGCTCTAGCTCTTTAATTACTTTAATAATAAATTATAATAACAATAATAACTATTCTTCCTAAAACCCTTAATGCCTGGTCTTTGTCTTACATTTACTCGCTGCTTTTAATAGCTCCCGGCTCTGAGAATTTTGTTGCATCTGTAACATTACGGGGAGCCACCAGATGGCACTGTTGCAAATCGTCTTGCTAATTTTAGGGGACTGTGCGTTTGGGGGCGTGCCTCTTGTCAAGTGTGGTGCAGTTCTGTTATGAGCAAATCACTAGGGAAGCTTGCCTGAATTTTTCTTAATAAAAATAGTTTTTTATAGGTGTGTCCTCCATGTTCTAAATCTGCAAAGGAATAAAAATAGTCCTTGATGTCAGAAGCTCGACAAGCGGAGGAACAAAAGTATTGACCAATATTATGAATTGCTTGGGATTCTAGCTGTCCAAAGTGATCGAGGGAAGTGTGACCCTTGTAGAGGCGGAAGAAGTTCAAACAGCAGACAGGCGTCTTCTAGTGTCCCCTGATGGGTCGTCAAAATAGTATCATTTGCTAGTCAACATTGGAGAAGAAGGTATCATATTAGATACTGTATAATACGAGGATAGTTATGTCAGCTGAAGAGGAAAAACAGGATAGTGCATACTAGGAAAAGTCTGAAAAACTTACCATCTCAAAGGCAACTTCATGTTTGCAAGTTGCAAATTTCATTACAAAGTATAAGGAACTACAGAACCCTTCCAGGAGTTTGTGCCAGGATCAAAGTTGCTAAGCCTCCTGTATCTGTCGTTGTGGATAAAAAGATTTGGGATATATTCCCTGTGAGCTGAAAGAAAAAGGAGGGAGCTCAGCTTGTTTTAAATTGGTGTATGCAATGGCATACAGTCTGCCAAAATTCACATCAATTCATAAGCACACGAAGTAGCAAAATCTCACCATGCTTTCAGGCAACCACAGAAAACCCAAAACAATTGGATGCATACAAACAAACAAAATATGGCATAAAAAAGATCTCAGCATCCGACTTATTCAGTCCATGCCTTCAGAATTTTTTATACATCAATCAGGTGCCTTAATCACCCAGGTGCAAACATCACCAGGTGCTAACACATGAGACCTCCACCATCTTTTCTGTGGTGTATGAGGAAGGTTTGCCTCTTGCAAAGGTTCTGTGTTGTTTTAAAGATTTGTGTTCTGAGAGGTTTTTTTGTGTAAATGCAGCAAAGGGAGAGAGCAGTAGGGAGTTTGCTCTTTGCTACGAACTCTGATTACAGTCAATTCTCAAGAAATGGTTGCTGCCTGGGAACTTGGTTATGAGACAAAATTCCTGCGTGTCTTTTGACCATCTCGTTACAGAACTGGTGCGTGTCCATAAATAGAGTTACCCTTGGAATATTTCTAGCCTCCAATAGGAAGCCCTCCAGCAAGCCTCATAGTATTGTATTACTGCATGGCAGAGGGGCAATCGTGGTGTCAGAACAGGATACCATAGTTAGAAGAGTGGATGGCATTGTTGATTTGGCTTCCTTTAAAACATGAAGACATTTGTAATTTTTCCTGCCCACTTCCAGCACCGTATCTAATTCAGATCAGGGAAAGTGTGGGCCCTTTACTGAATGGGGGAGGAATCCTTGTGACAGAGGATGCAAAAAAGACTGAAGTGCTCAATGCCTTTTTTGCCTCAGTCTTCACAGGCAAAGTCAGCTCCCAGACTACTGTACTGGGCAGCACCGTCTGGGGAGGAGGTGAGCAGCCCTCGGTGGTGAAAGAACAGGTTAGGGACTACTTAGAAAAGCTGGACATGTACAAGTCCATGGGGCCAGATGGGATGCACCCCAGGGTGTTGAGGGAGTTGGCTGATGTGACTGTAGACCCACTGGACATCATCTTTGAAAGATGAGCAATCAAGAGAGGCAATCAAGAGAGGTCCCGGATGCTTGGAAAAAGGCAAACATAGTGTCCATATTTAAGAAAGGGAAGAAGGAAGATCCAGGGAACTACAGACCAGTCAGTCTCACCTCAGTACCTGGAAAACCGACGGAGCAGATCCTCATTTAATCCATTTCTAAGCACTTGGAGGAGCACAAGGTGATTAGGAACAGTCAGCATGGGTTCACCAAGGACAAGTCATGCCTGAGCAACCTGATTGCCTTCTATGATAAGGTGACTGGCTCTGTGGGTATGGGGAGACAAGTGGATGTGGTGTACCTTGATTTAAGCAAGGTTTTTGATATGGTTTCCCACAACATTCTCGCAGGCAAGCTAAGGAAGTACGGGCTGGATGAATGGACTGTAAGGTGGATAGAAAATGGGCTGAAGCATCAGGCTCAGAGAGTAGGGTTGGGAAAGGAAGCACCAAGGGAATTTGGAAAGTTTGTGGGGAGAGAAGAGCAGTACACAACTAATTCAATTATATCCATGTATTCATCAACGACCTGGAAGATGGCACAGAGTGCACTCTCAGCAAGTTTGCAGATGATACCAAGCTGGGTAGAATAATAGATACACTGGGGGGTAGGGCTGGGATTCAGAGTGACCTAGACAAATTGGAGGATTGGGCCAAAAGGAATCTGATTAGGTTCAACAAGGACGAGTGCAAAGTCCTGCACTTAGGATGGAGCGATCCCATGCACTGGGACAGGCTCGGCGTGACTGGCTGGGCAGCAGCTCTGCAGAAAGGGCCTGGGGGTGACAGTGGACAATCAGCTGAGTATGAGCCAGCAGTGTGCCCTCGATGCCAAGAAGGCTAATGGCATACTGGGTGGCAGCAGGTCAAGGGAAGTGATTATTCCCCTCTATTCAGCACTGGTGAGGCCATATCTGGAGTGCTGTGTTCAGTTTTGGGCCCCCACTACAGAAAGGATAAATTGGAGACAGTCCAGTGGAGGGCAACAAAAATAGTGAGGGGGTTGGGGGACATGACTTATAAGGAAAGACTGAGGGAACTGGGTTTATCTAGAGAAGAGAAGACTGAGAGTGGATTTAATAGCAGCCTTCACCTCCCTGCAGGAGGGTTGCAAAGAGGCTGGAGCTGGACTGTTCTCAGTGGGGGCAGATGGCAGAACAAGGAGCAATGGGCTCAAGTTGCAGTGTAGCAGGACACTAAGGTGCCTGCTACTGAGAGCCGGGAGGGCTCCTCAGGTGCTGGTTGCCAGGGCAATGGGAGGCAGCAAACGACCCACACCTGCCAGCAGTCAGCGAGCTATACGGGGCAAGGCCTGGCTCTTATGAGGAGAGGGGGGAGTTGAGGTGGTTTTCCTGATGGTATCTAAGACAGAAGGGGGGCTTCCTGCCAGCAGCCAGAGAGAGAGAAGCTCCTGGAGCAATGATGTGAGGAGAAACCTGACTGCAGGTACCGCTAGCAGGGTAAAGGGTAGCAGCTCCAAGATGGCTGAGCAATGTTGTTACAGCCAAGTGGCTTAGGTTTAAGTTGTAGCCAAGAGGCTTGAGTTTATGTTGCAGTTTATTTAACACCGGTGGTTTGGGTGAGGCTATAAGGGGATGGAGGAGGCCTCATAGGGGACTCATGGTAGAGTGAGGGCCCCAGTGAGGGCACAGAGTTTGGGGGTACAGACCCCAGCTCCAGAGCCCAGCCTGGTGAGAGGGCAACCTTGTGGAGGGAAGAGCCCAGTGTGGGTGTGGAGAGCCCCAGTGAGAGGGGCAGCATTACGGAGAGGCCTCAGTGTGGGCCCAGAGCGCCCCAGTGAGAGGGGCAGCATTAGGGAGAGGCCCCAGTGTGGGCCCAGAGAGCCCCAGTGAGAGGGGCAGCATTACGGAGAGGCCCCAGTGAGAGAGGCAGCAGAACAGAGAAGGCCCTAGTGAGAAGGGTGGTGTACAGAGAAGGCCCGCAAGGCTTAGATATGCAGGACACCTGGAGCAGGATAACTGTGGCCAAGTGGAGGAGAGGTAGCCTCCCTATAAAAAGACTTATCATCAAAGTCATGGCGGGGGGGGAAAGGGGGGGGGGAGTCAGAAGCTTGGCACAGTAGAGGAGGCGACTGGCGGGCGAGAATAGGAGGGTGCAAGTCTGAAGCTTGGCACAGTAGAGGAGGCGGCGGCAAGGGCTAGCACGGCAACCCTGCTGTCACTCCTGTTGCATGCAGTAAGGGAAGTTTAGGTTACATATTAGGAACAATTTTCTCACAGGTTACCCAGAGAGGTGGTGGAAGCTTCATCCTTGGAGGTTTTCAAAACCTGGTTAAACAAAGTCTTGGCTGGGCTGATCTGGTTGGGGCTGGTCCTGCTTGGAGCAGGGGGTTGGACTAGATGTGACCTCCTGAGGTCTTTCCAACCCTCATCTCCTATGATTCTATGATTGTGCTCGGTAACTTAGATGCTGTTTCATTTGGCTTCCATTTAATACCATAATGTTCTCTCTCTCTCTTTTTAATGCAAATCAAAACTGCAAGTTCATCTGATCCTGGAGCCATAGATACTCAGTAGTTTTATTGTTATTTCCATTGCAGTAGTTTCTAGGGGCCAAAAACAGACACAGACCAAATTTTGCTGCATTATATATAAAAACATAAAGAGATGTATGTGACCAATCACAGAGAAGTTCCCAAGGGAAGTGGTATTAGTGTTTCATTCTTCTCTCAGCAGTGAGCTAATGCCCTATAAAAGCAGTATGGTGCCCTATGCTATCTTTTAGATGAAGTGTAAAGCTGAAATTTCTAACCACCTCTGGTCAGTAAACATTCCCTGGGACTTTTAAAAAATATAATTATGCTAGAATCCTGACTGGAGTCTAGGTTGGATTAATTGTTTACTCCCTACCTGAATTGAACTGCAGTTAAAACAAGAGCCAGTACTACTCTTCTTTGCTTTTTGTTTTTAAAAACTGCACAACTGCTCCAGGATGCTGTTGAGCAGCCAAAGGTGGCTATACATTCATGGTGGGTATTTCTTATAGCATATGCAACAGCACTGTAAATGTGTCGAAATGCATTGAAACAAAAGGTCGCATGTAAATATATAATATTATTATGTTTCCCAAAGAGCATATAATCTGATTGCTAGCTTCAGGTTATACTGACATTCACTTTTTAGTTAATCAATTTGCATGTTTTTTAAACTTAATTAGATCTTGGCACAAGTAGACTTCTTGAGAATTGTTTCTGCTGAGTTCACCGGTTCCTTTTGCATCTGTTTTGACTCGGACCTAATCACAAGTCCATTTCATTTTTTTTTTTTTAATTTTATTACTCTAACTTGATTATAGAAGTTTTATTTGTGAAGACAATTGGCAGGTGGAACACATTTTTGATTGCTATTATTTTACATCCCAGGAATCAAGCCTTGCTGGTCACCTGCCATGAACTGCCATCCTCTGCTTCTATATCTTAAGTTAGGGTCTGACCATGATCATCTCATTACAGGATCAATGCCTTTGGTAATTGGTTTACCACTTCAGAAAGACTACTCACATAGAAGTGTTTGAGAATTAGATCTTTAGAGTCTAAGTTCTTCAGGGCAGGGTGCACGTTTTGCATTTGTAAAACATATGCTATGCCACAGAGGCCTGGAAAGCAACTGTAATTATCAAGATCAGCCTTCAAGTCTGTTTGCTTCTGTTTCATAAACTAGCAGAGATTATTAAAATCCAAACAGAACCAACCAAAAATAAAATAAAGATCCATATAGAATGAATATACAAGTGTCCATAAAATGAGCAAGTCTGGTATGCTAACAGGAGCAGCAAGACGACTTGCTTTTACAGAACTGACTTCATTATCACAGGTACAACTTACAACCAAGGAGGCCAGCAAACCCAACTGCGTGCGTTCAGTTCAACATATCTGACTTTACTGCCTGAATTGTAGGCTC